AGTTTTAAAGCCATGCTATTTTTATATCATTTGCAAGTTACAGAATCGAATTTGCTTTACTATAAAGAGAGTTATAACTTTTTTTTAATATTATTTAAATGATTAGACCTACTAAAATTTATATATTAATATCAAATATGGCAACCTAGTTTTAAATCACATTATTTTTATATCATTCACAAGTTATAGAATGGAACTTTCTTTACAAGAAAGGGAGTTAGACCTTTTTGAAAATACATAGTTTTTATTATAATAAATTGATCGACAAAATTTTAAAAATCTTACTTAGTAGGCCAATCATATAATGCTGCACTATGATAGTAAACCATATAGTATGTAACGCCCCAGTGTAATATGTTGTCATAAACTCAACCAATTTTATTTACAATTTACTTACTGTATTACCGCGAAATAACGCGCTGGGGTGAAATTATGAATTCCGGTCTAAATTAAGCCTAATTCGGGCCGAACCTCGAAATAACGCCCATGGTCGCTATTTCGCGGTAATACGGTATTTGATTATCGTTATAAGAATCTTCTTGAATTGCATAAAGAAGGGATTTGTAAGAATCAGCAACTATAGCTTCGGGTAAGATTGCACTTTTATAAGAAATTGAATTATATTACTACTATATAGTTACAGTACCTACATAGCATGCATAACAGTGATTTAGAATCACTTACAAAATTGCAACAAAGCTAAATATTGCCCCAAGTTTTTTATATTTGGAAACGCTTCGATATATTTTTGTTCTCCTATTCCCCTAGGAATTCCCAACTATAAAAAGGAAAAATCAAAACAGTTTATAAATGGATAATAAACTAAGTAATTTGTTTCGGATTTTTTCTGATATTACTTTACCTCAATGTAAACTAGACTACCGAATAAGCTCATCAAACCACCAATAATCCAAAGCATTAAAGAAATTCCTGACCAGCAACCATATTTCACCAGGATTTTGAAAATTCCTATTGATATAATAATAAACTTAATTCATCGCGAAAAGGTTTACAAAAATAAGATAAAAATACAAACCAGCTCCTATAATTTTGTTAAAGTTATACCCTGCTCCTGTTAATATCCTAGAATTGGCTCTCTTTTATCTTCTATTAGTAAACCAACTCCAATGTCGAATTCACCATTATCTCTTACGGAAGATTCATGGTTACTCATATTAAATGCTAAACATTTTATGATAGAAAAGACAAATTTGAAATATATTTATATATACAACTTGCAAATGAGAATTAATTAGGCAAATTCAAAAGATTTTGTGCTAATTTGACAAACCTATGTGACACAGTTAATATTTAGACATTTATGGAGATTCATTTTGAATAAAGAAGTACCTCATAATATGGCGTAATTTTTTATTAACGTAATTTTTTTTATAAAAAAGGTCTTGTATCAGAAATAGAGCTTAATGTATGTGAAACGAAGGACAGTACGTACTGTCAAGGGAAAAGGGCTTAAGATCAAAGATTTCTTGATGTATATTGTATCAAATTCAATAATTTTTTTTTTTATTTGAATTTTACAGATTTGTAGAGTTCAAATTACAATAGTTATCGAGATATCTTCGATCAAAGCTTATAGGTATTAAAAATTCGTTAAACCCTTTTCCCTTGGCAGCACTCATATATTCATTTGCAGACCTTCGTATGATTGGCTGTTTAAATCAATTTAATTTTACATTATTTATACAGTTTAAAGTACTTTTTAAAAAAAATAAAACTACGAAGAATAAACAAAAAAGAAGTACTGTATATAGAAAATTTTATTAGGGTTGTGGTACTCCACTATTAAAAAGTATCAAATTCCCTTTTTGTTTTAGAGAAGTTAGCATGGTGATAACCTAATTCTATATATCTTTAAGAAGTCGCTATTATGCTAACTTCTCTAAAACAAAAAGGGAGTTTGATACTTTTAATAGTGGAGTCCTACAACCCTAATAAAACTTTCTTTTTTGTTTATTCGTAGTAGTTTTATTTTTTTAAAAAAAGTACTTTAAACTGTATAAATAATGTAAAAATAAATTGATTTAAACAATGCCTATGACTCATATATAGTATAAAAATTATCATTATATGACTACCCAAAATGGGTATAATTTCCCAAGAAAATTCTGTAATCTAATAATATTTTGTAAAGATTTTCTCAAAAGGTCAAATTTCTACTATAGTACAATGTTATACGTTACAAAAATTGATAAATACAAATGTTATCACTTCCTTTAAAAATCATACACTTCATGATTTCATCTCTCCATCACTAATTTTAATACTGTAATAATCTATAAAGCAAACTGTTGCAAACTTAACCATGATGGACTTTTGCTAATATAATATAAATTATTTGATTTTCAAAAATAAGTAGTCATTAGCATAGCCTCTTTTCATATTCATTATAAACAGCAATGAGTAAAATTTTTTTATATTATTTATGGATAATATTGGTTCTTAGCCAATTTATCACCATGATGGTCGCATTTAAACCTGCTGGTCGCATTTACCAGGACAGTGTATTAGTTGAAGATAAAATATATTTCTTAGGTGGTTTAAATGGTGCAAACATTGGGACTAGTGATTTATTCTATTTAAATATTTCTTCACCATTTAGTTCTGTAAATCTTAAATGGACTGATCTTACCAGCGTTGCACCTATTCCTGTCAAGAGCGCATTCGCACCTGCTTGTATTGGTGGCAATAAAAATTCTACAATTTATTTATTCGAACATAGCATGACAGATAACGTTAGTTCAACTACTTTAGTTACATTTGCCTTTGATATAACAACTCAAAAATGGTATACACAATCAACATCAGGAATTACGCCACCACCCATACAGAATTTGGAAGTGGTTGTTGATATGAATGGTAAAATATATATTAGTGGTGGATTTGAACTATTAACCCAACTGTCGAGTAATAACACCTACATATTTAATTCATTGAGCAATTCTTGGCTCAATGGCCCTGATGCCCCAATAATTCGATCCGCCAATACTGCCACACTTTTACCAAGCGGACGTATCGTATATATAGGGGGAACACATGACTTTCAAAATGGAACGAATGATTATCGACTGGCAGAGATTGATATGAATCAAGTAATTAAGATTTTATGATCGTTAAACCTTTCATTATTTGTTTTAATACTGGTTTTATTTTTCTTATTAGATTTCAATTTATGATACGAATTCTGGAAATTGGTCTTTATGGTAATTACATTAAATTATTGAACCATATTTACTCGGATATTTATTGTTGATATATGGATTAATAGACAGCACACTGCTGTACTGAGTATGTATAAACTTCTAATATTTTACAATATATTTATTTCTAATGATGTGATTAACAAAAATTTTCGCGTATAGTACGTACTGTAACTGTATGCGACACATCTCTCTCTATTTATAACTTATATTAAATTGCTATTTATTTTCAGGCAATAATGGCTTTACAATTGTTATTTATGGTGGTGGCTCCAAAAATTTTACAACGACTCCAGAACCTTCTTTAGCTGCATTAGATACGAGTGTTACACCTTACAAGTGGTCTAAAATATCATCTATTGGCACATTTTCACCACCACCACTCGCCTATCATTCAGCTCAGATAATTGAAAACTTTATGATCGTGGCATTTGGTGATTATACTCATCATTCGAAATGTTATATATTTGATAATTTATTAAATATTTATCGCTTTATTTTTTAGGTGCTCTCTTTACGACTAATGGTTTTAATTTGACAACTGGTTCTAATGACAATGTTTACATATTAGACACTTCAAATTATACATGGATCACATCGTTTGATATAACAAAAAATTATTTAAACCCATTACATGAATCTCAATTTAACATTCCCTTAATTGCAGGCCTTAGTAGTGGTTTATTTGTTTTAATTATTATCGCAAGTATCTTAGGATATATTTTTTATAGAAAACACTATAAAATTATTGCCACTCCAGGTACAAATACAGGGTTATCTTAATTATATACCTACTCCAGAGATACAAGAGATCGTAATTATATTGCTACTTCAGGTTAAATGATCGTGAATTTGTAAATTTAAATTTAAAATTATTTAATATAATCATCAAATTATTAATTATTTTAATTAACGACAGAAACATTTTATTTGATATTTATTTTCGGGTTATTCTTGGATTAATTTTAAATTTAAGAATTTCAATTTGCCAATTAATATTTAGGATCTTTGCTAGGAAAATCACCGGGATTTTCCGATGGGCCAATTCGGAAAAGCTTAAACAGGTATTCTTTAATTATACTCTTTTGATAATATTTTCCTTATTTTTGATTATATAAGTATTTATTATAAACTAT